CTGAGAATTTTTTCATGTGTCTATTGGCCATTTGAATTTCCTCTCTTGAAAAATGTCTGTTCAGGTCCTTTGCCCATTTTTTTGACTAGGTTGTTTGTTTTGTGGTTGTTTAGCTCTTCAGCTCTTTATATTTTTAGGAAGTTTACCCTTTATCAGTTGCATAGTTTGCAAATATTTTCTCCCATTCTGTCAGTTGCCTCTTCATTTTGCTGAGTGTTTCTTTTGCAGTGCAGAAGCTTCTCAGCTTGATGTAATCCTGCTTGTTAATTGTGGTTTTGATTGTGTGTGCTTCTGGGGTCTTTTCCAAGAAGTCTTTCCCTATCTGCATTATTTTTTACAGCTGCTTGCATGTTTTTACTATCTCAAAATAGGCAGTTTCAATAAAATTGTAGCCACAGTAATGTGCTTCTTTATATTTGTTAAATAGTAAGATAAGTGGCAGGCTGCATAACTGGGGTAATTTTGAAGGTGTGATGAACATAAATAATATTTGAAATACTTTCCACAAATATTTCTATGGTATGATAATAACTGTGACTTCTATTTGTGACTAAGTTGCCAGTGCTGTCAATACTACTGTATCAGATGCCTACATTCATAATTCAGAGAAAATCTAAACTTAAGGTAGAGATTACTAAAAATAAAGATGTTGTTTTCCCTCTTCCAAATTTACATATTTCTTGGATTAAGTGCCTAGATTAAGAACCCTTGGGTTAGTTTATATCTGTTCATACTTATCTGATATATCTCAAGGGCCTCTGTCAAATAAAAGATAAATATAATGCTTTTGCCTTTTTTCTCAAGTGCTGTGGCTGGTGATAAGGGCTGATAAAAAATGCCAGGAGGAACACTTTTTAGTTTTAAAGTTTTACTAGATGCCATTCACCAATATGCACATTGTTCATCATAATTGCTTAATACTAATTTTAAAAGGCAAGAATGAGTAGGTTTTAAATACTGAATAGACTATGCATTTATTATTTAATAGGAAAGAAAAACATGTCAACTTGATCATTTACTGTTCAGATTGAGCAATATTGAATATCATTAAACGTTTTCATTTATATTGACTAACAAATCAGTAAATGACAGTTTAGCCTTTTATTGTTGATGTCTCTCAGAGTGTCCATATCAAATGAGGCTATGGTTTTACAAGAAATGGAGTTCAATATTTTGAGATAAACATTGTGCTTTCCATTATCATATTTGTATTTAAGTTAACATTAAAATTTTATTTTATTTTATTTTTATTTTTAGTATTTCTTTTTTTATTTTTATTTTTGACAGGCAGAGTGGACACTGAGAGAGAGAGAAAGGTCTTCCTTTTGCCGTTGGTTCACCCTCCAATGGCTGCCATGGCTGGCGCGCTGTGGCCGGCGCACCGCACTGATCCGAAGGCAGGAGCCAGGTGCTTCTCCTGGTCTCCCATGGGGTGCAGGGTCCAAGCACTTGGGCCATCCTCCACTGTACTCCCTGGCCACAGCAGAGAGCTGGCCTGGAAGAGGGGCAACCAGGACAGAATCTGGCGCCACGACCGGGACTAGAACCCGGTGTGCCGGCGCCGCAAGGCAGAGGATTAGCCTAGTGAGCCACGGCGCTGGCCTTGTTAACATTAAAATTTTAAATATATTATATATCAAACTAAGTATTTGACATTATTATGGAGTATTTTCCTCTATATAGTTTAAATATGTTTCACACAAAAGAAGTAACAGTAGAGCCACAGAATTTAATATATGTTTAGAATTTCTTTGTGTACTTGTTATTTCTCACAGTACATATGCTCTAAGAGTTCATTCTATGATGGTCTTAGATTCTATAATTTAGGGGTGAAGTGCTTAACTGATATTTAATATGCAGACATTTTAATAAGTAAATAATAAGTTATTTCATCAGAAGAAAACTTCTAAATACTTTTCATTCATTAAACATTTTAGCTAATCACATTTATACAAGCTTAGTTAAATCCTTTTGGGAAAATGGTACGTATAATCTGAAGAATTATGATGCTTCTACATTGCTATAACACAGCTTTTTGTCCCCTGCCCTTGAATTTGAGATAGAATATGTTCTCCTAGTTTCCATGTAACTTTCACTCTCTGAAAATGTCTTTATTAAAAATAATGCTTTTAGCAATGGGAAATGACACTATGTGAAGTTGTCTCATGATAATTATTTTCTACATGGGGTTTTTAGTAGACTTCAACTGATAATAAATAGTATATTTTACCCTCCATTTTCCATGCAATTAAAAGTTTTCAAAAATCATATGAAATTATTTAAGTATTCTAATATAATGTATTGACAACACTTTTTGTACATTTTTAAAATATATTAACTCTAATATGCTCCCTTTAAGAGATATTTTTCCTACATAAGTGGAGAAAAAGCTTCTAAAGGATTTCAGCAGTATATTCAGAGTTGTATACCTCACCAGCTACATCACAGATTGACTTGGAAGGGGCACTTTTTTTGTATTTCCTTTTTCTACTTGAACTCAAGCAACTGATGACGAAGAAAATGGTTTTTCCAGTTTCTAATGCTTTTAAACCTAGAGGAGTGTCTCAAAGAACAGTACTATGAACCTTTGCAGATATGATTTCAAATTTATTCATCTATAACATTGTATTTTGAGAGAACTACAATGATTAATAAAACACTCACTTGATTAAAATAGCCAAATAAACTTGACTACATTAGGGTTTATCAATCATGGTCAATAACAGCAACAATATTAGTGTATTCATGACAATATTATCCTTCCTATTTGACAACGACACTACTGATAATAATTGCTATCTGTGTGTACATTGCAGCTGAAAGTACCTGTGTGTAATCAATAGCTCTGTCTGATGTCTGCAACAAGAGACCTTTACAACTAAAATCTGAAACCTTTTCTTAAGTTATAGGTAAATCTGTTTTACATTAAAGAATGACAGGCCATGCTAAGACTAAGTCATTCTGGACTCAGAAGTGGTTATCTATACTTCAAACTTAAACTGTTCTTCTTAGAATGCTGCTTCTCTGGTTTTAATATTAACTTTGAGATCATAGATGGGGGAGTGTGTGATTATTAAACTGACCCAGAGTATCTTTTAGATCTTTGTGTACCGCGCTAGAATAACACAAGCACAGTCATACTGAAAGTATCTCAATCCTGATGATTTTCAAATTAAAGGACGGCCTCAAATTAGCAAAGGTTTTTGTTCACCTGTTTTAGAAGGGCATGTACACTAATTGTTAACTTTGCACTATTTTTTAAAGATCAAATGGGCACAGTGGTAATTTTCATTAATCTCATACAGAACAGCTAATTAAAATTTCCATTATTATCCATCCATTATCTATTTGTTTCCTTTGTTCACTATCAGAAAAGGATGTTAATAAAAGCCAGTCTTTTATTATACTCCTATTAAGTATAGTGAGAATTAGTTAATCTTTCACATTGTTTTGTTTTTAGGTTATTTCTTTCATAGGTTGTACCATGTTGATTATGTTGAAGATACTTTGACTCTTTGCAGTAGAGATTTTGGAATTAAATATTTGTTGCATTATTTTTTAAAATTCAACATTGGGAAGATGTGGTATATAGGATCAGAATATGTGTGTTTTAGAGACCGTGTCACTGATTATGTGAACTGTGACAACAACCTGGATGTTATTTTTTTAAAAAAAGTTATTTATTCAAAAGAGTTACAGAGAGAGAGGGAGAGATAGAGAAATCTGGTTCACTCCCCAGAAGGCTCAATGGCTGGGAATGGGCCAGGCTGAATCCAGGAGCCAGGATCTTCTTCTGGGTTTCCCAGGTAGGTGCCAGGGCCCAAGCACTTGGGCCCATCCTCTGCTGCTTTCCCAGGCACATCAGCAGGGCACTGGATTAGAAGTTGAGTAGCTGGGACTCGAACTGGCACCCATATGGGATGCCACCTTTGCAGGCAGAAGCTTAACCTGTTATGCCTTAAGGCTGGCCCCTGGATTTGTTATTTCTGTCATGAGAATGTTAGAAGAGCTGATCTTCAAAGACCAATGCAGCCTTAACATGTTTTCATAATTTTCAAATATGAATTTACACTAAAACTCCAAAGCTCTACCCTAGGTAAAAGCATCTATTCTATAAAGTGTGTGTGTGTGGATATAGATATAGGTATAGGAATAGGTATAGATATAGATATAGATATAGATATAGATATAGATATAGATATAGATATAGATATAATTATCTGAGTTCCTGGCTCTTGGCTTCAGCCTGACCAACCCCAACTATTGTGGGCATTTGAGGAATGAATCAGTGGAAAGAAGATCTTTCTCTGTCCCTCCTTCTACATCTTTGTCACTCTACCTTTCAAATAAACAAATCTTTTCAAAAATATTATTTTAGTGCAATAATATTTTGAAATCCATGGAGTTTTTCATAATATGCATTTTCATGAGCTTTAGGAGGACCCCTCATTTTTTATTCAAGTAATGAGCACCACCTTTGTAGTTTTCTTTCAAATAAAGAAAATGTTGAGGTGTATATATAATATACCTTTACTGCTCAATTCTGTGAACAAGAATTTTTTAAGACTTTATTTATTTATTTGAGAGGTAGAGTTATAGACAGTGAGAGGGAGAGACAGAGAGAAAGGTCTTCCATCTGCTGGTTCACTTCCCAAATGGCCGCAATTGCTGTAGCTGAGCTGATCCGAAGCCAGGAGCCAGGAGGTTCTTCCAGGTCTCCCACGTGGGTGCAGGAGCCCAAGGACTTGGGCCATTTTCGACTGCTTTCCCAGGGAGCTGGATTGGAAGAGGAGCAGCCAGGACTAGAACCAGTGCCCATATGGGATGCCAGCGCCGCAGGTGGAGGATCAACCTGTGCCTCAGTGCCCGCCCGCCCCCGAAGAATTTTTAAATTTCTAGCACACTGCACACATTTGTATGCAACAACATATTTATATATCCTATACATTGTTTTACTTTAAAATTTTTGTAAAGCTATTGTTTATGATTTTGTATTGTAGGGCGGTCTGAAAAACAGCAAACACGAATGCACCCTGTCTTCACAAGAGTATGTTCATGAATTACGATCTGGTATATCAGATGAGAAACTTCTTAACTGCCTAGAGTCCCTGAGAGTTTCTTTAACCAGCAATCCTGTCAGGTAAGTAGTTCCTGTGATTTTGTTATGAATCATACAATTACCATTGTTTGGGAATATCAGAACTTATGCTACTTTAAACTCATATTTTCTGAAAGGCTGATATTAACTAGAGTATTAATAAACTTCTTAAAACTTACACATTTATACTGTTAACTGACTACAAAGTATTATGGAAGACGTTACTTGCCAATGGGGGATTCTAATAACTCTTGTTCCTATACTAACCATAAGAAAGGCGTTAAGTTAATAACATGTAAAAATGTTTTGAAAAGAAAAAAAAATTGATGTGCAATGTAATATCAAAACATTCTTGGATCTACTTACACAGTTGCTACAATCTGAAGTTCAAAATGTAATGGATAAATCTATATAGAAAACTTGTTGTGGTTTTTCTGTTTTTACATTTTTTTTTATTTTTTGACAGGCAGAGTGGACAGTGAGAGAGAGAGAGACAGACAGAAAGGTCTTCCTTTGCCGTTGGTTCACCCTCCAATGGCCGCCGCGGCCAGTGTGCTGCAGCCGGCTCACCGTGCTGATCCGATGGTGGGAGCCAGGTGCTTCTCCTGGTCTCCCATGGGGTGTAGGGTCGAAGCACTTGGGCCATCCTACACTGCCCTCCCTGGCCACAGCAGAGAGCTGGCCTGGAAGAGGGGCAACCGGGACAGAATCAGGCGCCCCGACCGGGACTAGAACCCGGTGTGCCGGCGCTGCAAGGCGGAGGATTAGCCTAGTGAGCCGCGGCCCCGGCCCTGTTTTTACATTTTCTTATGTCTGGTACTTTTCAGACCTGCCACAGAGCCTTGACAGTAGTGTAGAGCTCATTCATCCAATTTTAAGTACAAGTTGAAGTATATATTATTTATTCATATGCACAGTGCACTTGGCAAACTAACTGGAAAATTAGAATTTTACAACAGAATTTTAAAAGGCAATGGTAAGATGTGATCGACTTCAGAGTATGATAATTGTCCAAAGGTGCCTGTCTTGCCATTTCTTCTAGAATTCCTCTGTTTTTAATGATTTGAACAAGCAATATGAGTTCTTTGAGAGCAGTAACCACAGTAGTGTTTTTCCCTTTGCATATAACCTACAGCACCCTCACCTTTCTGCCAAGTACTTATGTGCTCCAAAAATGTCTGCTGGATTGTTCAGTGAACCATAAATTAATCTTTCAAAAGTAACTGTAAGTAGTTGGCTGTGGCTCAGTGGATTAAGTTGTCGCCTCTAACAGAGGCAGCAGCACAGCAGATGTGTTCCAGTATTAGCGGGCAATTGGAGTCCTGGGTGCTCTGCTTCTGATCCAGCTCCTTGGTAATGTGCGTGGGAAAGCAGTGGAAGATGGTCCTAGTACTTGGGCTCTCGCCACCTGTCCGGGAGACCCGGATGGAGCTCTGGGCTCCTGGCTTCCTCCTGTACCAGCCAGGGCTGTTTGGACATTTGGGAGTGAGCCAGTAGATAGAAGATCTTTCTCTCTCCCTGTTACTCTGCCTTTCAAATTAAAAAAAAAATTATAAAGCAGTAGTAACCTTTATGAATGGGATGATGGTAGTGGTACTGAGGTCTAGTTAAATGCATTTTTATAAAGATGGTGAGGGTGCTTCAAATTACACTTGAACTCTTAAAATGTAGCAGGGCAATGACTCACCCCAAAAGATTATGGGAAGAAGCAAAAACCCATCAGGCTCCGATGGCTGGAATTGCTGCGTTCTGGTAGCTGATTGGCTCCACAGGTTGCATGAAGATGGCTGTGGTGCCCTGCATAATATGTCGGCTTGCAGCTCACGGGTAAAGCGCCAAACCAGCCTGTGGAGTCCCCTGACAAGAGCCAAGCCTCATCTCTCCTCAGCTGGAGCTGTCCTTAAGATGATTAAGAGTGAGTTTGGAAGCCACAGTTGCATCTCTGCTGAGGGAGGAGCTAGTGGTGGCAATGACCAACCATCTGACTGAGGCACAATGCCTGTTACGATGGTGAGATCCAGGGCCCGGTCCAACAGGTTATACCTTGTTATGTAAGCCAGCTGCTCGCCTCTGGTTGATAATGTGTTCAAGATTAGACGAATTGAGATTTCCCAGGTTTCTGTCATGGGGATAATCAGGAAGGTGGAGAGGGCTCCAAACTAAATTCTCTGCAAAATTGATGATATGACCCCAAGCCAATCCCGGTTTGGCAGTCACTTGGTAAAAATAAAGTGAAGCAGGAAGCTACTGTGCTGCCAGTTGGAGTATATGCCAAAGTGTTTTGTGTCCTTCAGTTGTTCATGGGAGCAAAAAGCCTTGTAGTATTGAAAATCCATGTCCTGGAGGATATGAATGAGTTAACCATGCATGTTCTGGAAATGGTCAGTGCATACATGATGCAGAATAAAGCCCGCCAAGGGGAAAGCTGACAAAATGAAGATGGCTATGATGTCAGCTGCATCTGGAAGGAGGTGCTCCACTCGATTCACATGTGTCCTCACCAGGAAGGGAAGAGCGTACAGGAGCTGCAGACCCAGCTCTGTGGTCTGAGCGAGAAGGCCATCAAGGAAGCCATTGATTATCTGGCCACCGAGGGTCGCATCTATCCCACCGTTGACAAGGAGCATTTTAAATCTATTAAGGCAGCAAAAGCATCTCATTGTCTGAAGATGTTTGCCTCTGGCTGCGAGTTATTTTGACCCATTGACTTTTAGGAAGTAGGATTTTTCAACAGAAGCTCTCCACTGTTGATGTACAATTTAATACTTTATCCTTTTTAGTATTTTTTGTTCTACTTAATACTATTGGTTGAATCTGTAATTAACACACAATTATTCTTAGGTGTTTAAATTTAACTGAAAAGGGATCCCTGTTAAATATAAGAGTGGAAATAAGATAGAGAGGAGATGTACAATTTGGGACATGCTCAAGCTGACTTGCCCCAAATGGTAGAATTAGAAATGTGCCACAGGCTTCCAATACAATCCCATCAAGGTGGCATGTACCAATGCCATCTCACTAGTCCAAGTGATCAATTTCAGTTCATAATTGATCACACTGATAGGTCTAAGAGTCAAAGGGATCAAACAAACAAGACTAGTATCAGCTAATACTAACTGATAGAATCAAAAAGGGAGAGAACGATCCCCCAAACTATCGATATTTGTTTAAGCATATGAGACAAACTTTTCTTCCTCTCCAAAGCCAAGAAATTGTATATGGTGTTCTTGTGAAAAACACAAATGTATAATGTACTACAAAATTGTTACTTAAATTATACATTTTTGAAAATTGTAGTCTTCAGAAACTTAAGCAATTCTGAGCCACTGTTAAAGCTTACCTGTCTTGGAGACATTCATAGTGAACTAGGGGCCATAGGGGGCATATTTTTTCCTCAAAATTGCAGTACTGGAAGAATTCTAGGAGACACTGTAGTTCTTTTAAAAAAATAAATGTTACAAATATTGGTATAAATTTGGCACTTTTAGGGTTTTTTTTTTAAGATTTATTTATTTATTTGAAAGGTAGACTGACAGGGGAGAGACAGAGAGAGAAAGATCTTCAATCTCCTGGTTTACCCCCAAATGTCTGCAACAGCTGTGGCTGAACGAGGCCAAAAGCGGGAGCCAGGAATTCCATCCAGGTCCCCCACACTGGTTGCAGGATCCCAAGTGCTTGGGCCGTCATTGGCTGCTTCCCAGTAGCATTAGGAAGAAGCTGCATTGGAAGTGAAACTGGTTCACATGCACTTTGATATGGGATATGGATGTCCCAAGCAGCAGCTTAATCTGCTTTGCCATAGTGTCCATTCCACAATATTTCTTTGACATCACTTATACAAATGCAGAAAGCTTGAGATAAAAATCTGATACTTAAAATTGTAACTGTCTCCTGTAGCTACTTTTTCCTCCAACTCTAGGACTGTACCTCCAGGACTAGAAGAGAAGAGCCTTTTTTTTTGTTTGTTTGTTTTCGTGGGAAGTTAAACTGCTTTTGTGCTTACAGATTGGTACATTGAGATATGTATGCCTAAATTTAAGGCAAAATGCTGATTTCCCACTCATCTTTGATAGGTGTCATCTCTCTGTGTTCTTTTGGGGTTCTTTTTGGCTTTGTGAACTGCCTCACTCCCTACACACACACACAGACACACACACACACACACACACACACACCTTGCCACCTTTATTCTTCTGAGTGGAATCATGTGGTTTTGTGGGATTTTACTGCAGATGAAGAACTATAGTAGAAGAATAGTAAATAGATATGGCTATTATATGAATGGAAATCAACAAAAAATTTTAAGGAGAAAACAATTCCTAGATTATTTCATACTTGCATATTTGGCACGTTAGGGGTAACAGATTTCCAAAATTTAATTTAAATCGCCCACTTGGCATGCACACTTTTTCAATTTTGTTTAAGCCAGGAATGACTTGGCCAATGTTCTCCTTCTATGGTCCTGCCCTGTATGTGAGCCAAATCTTTGAGGGGAAGGTTTGAGGATAAGACACATATCCTAGGAAAATACTGTCAACTCTTTTATGTAGGAATATTTAAGCTAGAGGAACTTGAAATGCATAATTGACTATTATAATAGGTATTGTTTGTGGCTCATAGACATATAAAATATATATATTGAAATTGATTCTAAATTAACTATGAAATATATGAATATTTGTATATATTTGTATATATGAAAATTTGTAAAATCCAAATAATACTAGTATCAGATATAATTATTATTGAATTTTGTTACTTTTGTTTATTAATTTGGTAATATTTTGAGCTATTGGAAAAATATGGGATACAAACTCTTTTTGTTCTAATTTCTGTTTGCTTGTTATAACAGCAAATCAAAAATGGAACCACCAAGAATTATTTTCATTCATTAAATCTTTAGTAAACACCTATTCTGTGCATTTAAGTGCCAAGTTTGTTTTCATAAACTTCAATTCAATTGACTCCTGAAATGGTTATTAAAGTAGTAACAGTTAACATTTTACCATTCATGTAAAACCTTTCTGGCATGTGCTGTTCTAACCTGAGTGTGTGTGTATGGAAGTATGGTTAGGCCTACATTGACATTCCCAACTCAGAACTCTCATGAAATTCAGACTCCATATTAAGTGTGTTCTTGAATGCCCTACAGGCCTCTTTAAAAATATTTAAAAATAATAAAAAGAAACATGTATGACAGAACTTAAATCATGGAAAATGGAATTAAAACATAGAGAAGTTTATTTTCATAAAAAATGTTTGAAGTCCTTGCATACAGTGGGTCTTCAAAAAGTTCATGGAGAATATATATTATGAAAAATTTTGAAATCCGTGAAATTTTTTCATAACATGAATTTTCATAATCTTTTTGAAGTATTCTTGCATTTATAATTCTTCAATGTTTTTAAGACTTTGAAATATACATATAATTTTAGTATTATTCCCATTATATATCTGTGTATATATGTAGTTTACATATATATGTGTGTATGCATATGTGCGTGTGTGGTGTATGTTGTGTGTATGTGTGTGATTTGTCTGAGAAGCAGAAAGAAAGACAGTGACACAGGCAGCTCCCATCCACTGGCCCATTCCCCTAATGGCCACAATTGCAAGTCCTTGGCCCAAGGCTGCAGCCAGTTGCTAGAAACTCAATCCAGGTCTCTCATGCGGGTGGCAGGGACCCATCTCCTGTTCTCTCCCAAGATCTGGGTTGACAGTCAGCTGGGATCAGGAGGCAGAGTCAGACTTCAAACCCAGGGGCTCAGATATAGGACAGAGATTTTTTTTTAATTTTTTTAACTTTTATTTAATAAACATAAATTTCCAAAGTACAGTTTATGGATTACAATGGCTTCCCCCCCATAACTTCCCTCCCACTCGCACCTCTCCCATCTCCTGCTCCCTCTCCCATTCCATTCACATCAAGATTCATTTTCAATTATCTTTATATACAGAAGATCGATTTAGTATATATGAAGTAAAGATGTCCTCAGTTTGCACCCACACAGAAACACAAAGTGTAAAATACTGTTTCAGTACTAGTTATAGCATTACTTCACATTGGATAACACATTAAGAACAGATCCCACATGAGAAGTAAGTACACAGTGACTCCTGTTGTTGACTTAACAAATTGACACTCTTGGGCCGGTGCCGCGGCTCACTAGGCTAATCCTCCGCCTAGCGGCACCGGCACACCGGGTTCTAGTCCCGGTCGGGGCGCCGGATTCTGTCCCGGTTGCCCCTCTTCCAGGCCAGCTCTCTGCTGTGGCCAGGGAGTGCAGTGGAGGATGGCCCAGGTGCTTGGGCCCTGCACCCCATGGGAGACCAGGAAAAGCACCTGGCTCCTGGCTCCTGCCATCGGATCAGCACGGTGCGCCGGCCGCGGCGGCCATTGGAGGGTGAACCAACGGCAAAGGAAGACCTTTCTCTCTGTCTCTCTCTCTCACTGTCCACTCTGCCTGTCAAAAAAAAAAAAAAAAAAAAAAAAAAAAAAACCAAATTGACACTCTTGTTTACGGCATCAGTAATCTCCCTAGGAGGGCAGAGATATTTTAACCAGCATCTTAAGTGTCAGGCCAATTGCCCATCCCTGTTCCCATTTTATAAATGAGGAAATTGAGGCTCAGAGAGGTTAAATAATTGGCTCCATTTTTAATGTTACATGGTTAGTAAATGTCACCATTAAGATTCCAACCTAGACCATTTGTCTCTAGAGCATGGACCATTAACGGCTACTTTATTGCCTCACGATAAGGAAAGTCTGTTCAAACATTCTCCTTTCACTGTTGTCACATACTAATTTTTTTGTTTCATTAAAATTTATCTCAATTGAATTGAAGGACTATGAAATTTTAGTAAAAAGTATAAAAGATGATATAAAAACACCTTTGTACTCACCTACCAGCTTAAGAAATGAAGGTTTCATATTTTTTTAAAGATTTTCTTTATTTATTTGAGAGGTAGAGTTACAGACAGTGAGAGGAGAGACACAGAGAAAGGTCTTCCATCCGCTGGTTCATTTCCCAAATGGCCGCAACGGCTGGAGCTGCGCCGATCCGAAGCCAGGAACCAGGAGCTTCTTCCCGGTCTCCCACGTGGGTGCAGGGGCCCAAGGACGTGGGCCATCTTGTACTGCTTTCCCAGGACATAGCATAGAGTTGGATGGGAAGAGGAACAGCTGGGGACTAGAACCAGCGCCCATATGGGATGCCGGCGCTGCAGGCAGAGGATTGACCTACTGCGCCACAGCGCTGGCCCCGGTTTAATTTTTTTAATGTAACTTAGATTGTTAATGACAGCATAACACCATTTGGGTTTTTGTTTCATTGATAAAAAATTCATCTGAGGAGTGAGCATTTAGCTTACTAGTTAAGATTCTGGCATCCCAAGTAGAAGCACCTGTGTTCAGTTCCCTTTTCTGGCTATTGATGCCAGCTTCCTTCTAATGCTGACTTGGGAAGGTAACACTGATGGATCAAGCAAGTGGATTGCTGCCACCTACATGGAAGACCGGGTTGAGTTTCCGGTTCTGGGATGTGGGGGAGGGGATGGGGATGTGGGGACCTTGCTCAGCCTCAACCCTTGGTAGCAATTTACGAGTGAACTAGCAGGTGGTGCTCTCTTGCATGTACACATTCATACTCTGTCTTTCTGCCTTTTAAATAAATTTTTAAAAATTTAAAAAATCTGAAAATTCCATTATCTAAATCTATGCTTCTATTTTTTGAAGTATGTTATCTTAAGAGTATATGTCATTTCATTCAGAAGCCTATCTTTTCTGATGACCATGTAGATCAGTGTGGTGAAATTTAGACCTCCCTTGCCTACGCAACAAGGATGATAACTCTAAGGGTACTTCCCGTGGTTTCCATATATTTATTTCAATTTGCTCTCACGTGATAAGAGAAAAAGCTTTGTGTTTTTTTTTTTTTTTTTTTTTTTTTTTTTTTTTTTTTTTTTTGTCTAGTCACAGATAATTTTCCTTGGTAGTACCTAAACTGGAGCAATTGAATAAATAGCACTTAACATTATATATGGCTTGTTTTTACATTTTGCATGGGTATCCTATAAAGTAATAATACAAATAATTTCCCCTAGTCCGCTCCCCAAATTCTGGCAACAGCCAGGGTTCTGGAATTCAATCCAGGTTTCCCATGTGCTTGACAGGAACCTGGGGTACTCAGGCCATCACCTGCTGCCTGCCAAGATGTGTATCAGCAGGAAACTGGAATTGAGACGAGAGCAGGGACTTGAACCCAAGCATTCCAATATGGGATCTAGGGATCCTATATGGTATTTTAAACAATGTACCAAATGCCCACCTCTGGTTTATGTTTTTAAAGGACAACTGGCTAGAAGCAGAGAGACTGTGCTACACGTTGCAGTAAAGGAAGTACATATCTAATAGAAATTCTTGGGACACCTGTGTATCTGTGCTTCATGGAAGCTTATATAGAAAGTCTTTTGACATCCCAAGGTAGTATGAGAATTCAGTTATTTTTACCATGAGCCTCCATTGACTCACCTGGAGAAATTCATGGTGCCTCACTGATGTTCCAGTGGTAACATGGATTCCATGAATGCATGCATTTTCCTGCTGTTTAACTGCCTGATCTTTGTATTACTCAGTTCAAATTTGTAAATTTCTAAGGGGGGTGGTTCTACTCATCATTGGTTTCTTTTCTGGCAAAACTGCATGCCTGGCCACCTCATTTATCAGGCCAGTGTAGATGCCTGTCATAACATGGGTCAGGCTCCCGTCCTTAATCAGCTCCACTTCACTTTGATGAAGATAAGGGAGGCAATATAATGTGGTCCAGAATCTGTGCACCTAGGACTGTTACCTGGATAGGTGGCTGTGTGGAGTGCTTCCCATAACAAGGGGTTCTAAGCATGTTAGGCACCAGCTAATACAGTAACTTTAGTAAGTTGAGAGGGAAAAATCATTGCGTAGAGAACTCTTTGAGAGATCAAGGATTATGTTTTATTCATGCTATATATTCAGCATTTAGCATTATTCCTTGTAGCATTATAAGTGAGTAAAAGAGCACACTGCTACTAGAAGTGCCTCTTGTGTACCGATTTGTGTATTTGTGTATTTTGGAGACAGGAAGAAGCAAAGAAAAAAACCCACCAATATCTTTTTCTTTTGAGCATCCTCAGAGCTATTAACAAAATGTAGTATAAGCCACCTCTAAGATCTGGTTTCCCTTTGACCTTTTGTCTATCATTTGACTCTGGTCCACCAATATTTTATCTTGCCAGATAAAAAACTCTCATTAACCCACCCCTCAAAAAAAAAAAAAGTAGGAGTGGTAGGGTATATAACTATATCATGTAGTTAAGTAAGTTCTAGAAATGCTGTGTAATATTTTGCCCTCGTGGGAACTCAAAGTAAATATTAGCATTGTTCCTTAAATAGCTTTTACAAATTCTGCAAAAAGGGAGACCTGTTTAACTTTTTAAACACAGTTTCCAAAATTTTTATTAATTAAAATTTCCATTTATTCCTTGGAAATCCATAGAACCATTCCATAGTATAAATCACACTTTCTGTTTTCACTAGATTTTTTAATTTACAGAAAGCCAACCCTTTAAGATATTTTTTAAAGATTTTATGTATTTATTCATTTGACAGGTAGAGTTACAAACAGTCAGAGAGAGACAGAGAGAAAGGTCTTCCTTCCGTTGGTTCACTCTCCAAATGGCCGCATCGGATGGTGCTGCGCCGATCCGAAGCCAGGAGCCAGGTGCTTCCTCCTGGTCTCCCATGCGGGTGCAGGCACCCAAGGACCTGGGCCATCCTCCACTGCCTTTCTGGGCCACAGCAGAGAGCTGGATTGGAAGAGGAGCAACTGAAACTAGAACCCAGTGCCCATATGGGATGCCAGCGCAGCAGGCTGAGGATTAATCAAGTGAGCCATGGCGCTGGCCCCGTCTTTTAAAATATTTCATTTTTTTAGATGCCTAGAGGAGGGGGTGGGGAGAGAGAGAGAAAGAAAGATAGAGACAGATTGACTGATTGTTTCACATGATTGTTTCACATTCCCACCCACTAGTTTACTCCCAAAATGTCTGCAGCAGCCAGGGCTGAGCCAGGTCCAAGCTGGGAACTCAGTCTAGGGCTCCCATGTGGGTGGCAGGGACCCAAGTACTTGAACCATCACTGTTGCCTACTAGGATGCACATAAGACAGGAGGCTGAAATCGGAAGTGGAGCTGAGACTTGAGCCCAGGCACTGCAACATAGGATGTGGGCTTCTTAACTGCTAGGCTGAGTGCTGCACTCTATTTAAACTCATCATTAGCTATTTTTGCTGTAGCCACCCTCTAGTTTAATAGGCTTAACTTTCCTCACAGAAAGCAACAAATAAGCAAACATTGTGAACAACTATTTTTTCCTACTTGAGAAAAACCAATAAGCAAATAAAAGCAATGAAAGAAAAATATAAAAATTAAAAAATTGTAAATGAGGAAACCAATGTAAGAATAAACCCAAGAATGGGAATAATTTATACAACCAGGACATTATACAAAAAGTATAGAAAAGAAAAATAGTCTATAGAAGTATAATTCACCTTGAATGCATAGTGTCTTACATGAGGGTATGCAAAAAGTTCAAGGAGATACATGCAATGATAAAACTGTGTAAATTTAAAAACGTTTTACACCATGAACTTTTTGAAGTTGTTTCATGCAACAGCAAAAGAATCCCTAAATTAAATAAAGTTATTTGAATAATATTATTTTAGTTTCCTAGGGTTTCCATAATGGTTCCTACAAACTGATGGCTCAAAACAACAACAATTATTCTCTCATAGTTGAGGCAGCCAGAAGGTTGAAATCAAATGTCAGGTAAATTCCTTCCAAAGGTTCTAGGTGAGGATACCAATAGCTTTCCTTAAACATTCTCAAAACATGGTCACTTTGAAATATTAAATGGAGTCATGAATTTCAGATTCATAAGTTATTTAATTGTTCAGATGATAAAGACTCAAAGACAATCATTTCATTATTTTGTGTGCTGCTAAAGGCAATTTTTTTAAATTCCCTTTATAAGCCGTCATTTACTGGCTGTATTCTAAATCATTCCCTTACTATACATTCCCTCAACCTTTACTTTTTATTACATCAATTTACTTGTACCTACTTATATTCTATAACAGTTTTGTTCATATATGTCTACTTTTCATTTAGATTTTTGCCACCACTGGGGAAGGGACCCTCTTGCCCTCTCATTTGTTTTGTGGTGGCTGGTACTGTGTAATTATATACAATAATGTATGATTTAAGGTGGATATTGACCCATCATCAATAACAGCCTATGCTTTGCCAGCAGTGAGAATGAAATTTGCATTAGTCTAGCCATATTCTGTGGCCCTGCATTTTTAGATGTAATCAGAGAAAAATAATGAATTTAACTTCCTTCATATAAGAGTAAGACTTACTAGCTTGATTTGAACCACTTTCATAAGCTGCAGACAGAATAGCATGCTTTACACAATAGTCTTTTTACAGTTGCATGGTGAATTAACAAAATTGAATGTTTACAACTCTGTTTAACACCCTAAAAATCCATGTGCTTTGATTATAAAATGAATCCCAATCTGCCATCACAAATTGTATTAGGCTTTGCACATACCATGGCATGTGTGTGGTTTAGAATGAGAACTACATTATTTAAAGATTTTTATTCATATGCTTTTACTAAATTTTATGAAAGGAAGCAGTGTCTACTGAAGAATGACCAATGAATTTGGACAGTTTTATTCCCAGCCAAACCATTACAGGATGTATGGGTATTTGGCAATACATTTATGAAGAACCAAGGAAATGTGTAGCGATAAATCATTGTCACTAAGGTTTTACAAAACATGACAAAACCAGCAAATACTGGTTTGAAGAACAGTATCACAGAGTTGTGATTGCATAGAATTCCTTTTAGAATTTTTGCTGAAAGTGCCTTACATTTTGAGGAGTATTTTACCCCACCAGGAAAACTGCTTTTTCTGTTTTGCGTGGACTCGATTGTTATCTGCCAAACTCATGCCATAGTGTCAGGTTTCTACAGCCAGTATTCTCAAGCAGGCGAAAACGAAATCTCTTAAGAGTTTATAAATATGCAGTTATTTGTATTATCTCTGGAAGGTTTTTTGAAATATGTGTGTGTGTGTGTGTGTGTGTGTATTTGAAAGGCAGAGTGACAGGGAGAAGGAAAGATAGAGACCTTCCATCTGTTGTTTCACTTCCAAAATGGTGGCAACAGCTGGCAATGGTTCAGACTGAAGCCAAGAGCCCGGAACTCCTTTCAGGTCTCCCACATGAGTGACAGGGGCCCAGATACTCAGGCCATCTTTTGCTGCTTTCCCAGGCACTTTACCAGGGAGCTGCATAGGAAGTGTAGCAGCTGGGACTCAACACACTGCACCACAGTGCTAGCCCAAAAATGTTTGTTTTTACTTAATATTTTCCTCCCTTTAAACATACTTTTATAGCAAATATGTGTTTTAACATAATCATAATGACAATAGCTGGATCTTGACAGCAATGCAAATTAGAAATAGAAAGCACTGTCCCAGTTATGGGTGTTAATAACTGTTTAAACAGCCTGTATAAACTTATTTAAACCTTGGCAAAGCAGCCGGCACTACTTTGAAAGTTTATATGAAGTTAGGTAAAGATCAATACTATTAGAACATTTTACAGGGGACTTCCTATGAAAAATGGAATAATAAGATCATAATAGTGTAGAAGTGTGAACTGGACTTAAAAAATTGTGAGTACATTTCATAAGGTAGCATTGTGGACAGCGTTTTAAAAGTAGTTTTAAATGTTGGTATTTTAAATTTGTTTGCTTTAACTTTCAAATATATAAATCATTTTAGAATATGTGTATCCATTTTCATCTACTTGAAAGAACAACAGAG